CCCGCCCGTCCCGCCGTGCCCCGCGCCCATGGCCGCCCGGGCGCTGCTGCGGGCGGCGGGGGCCGCGCTCGGCGCCCCGGCCCGTGGCTACGCCAAGAAACCCGGTGAGACCCGGCACCGACCCCGCCCTGCCCTGCCCTGCCCTGCCCTACCCTACCCTACTCTGCCCTGCTCTGCCCTACTCTGCCCTGCTCTGCCCGTGCTCCCCGCCGCGCGTCCCCCCGGTTCACCGCGCTCCCCTGTCTCCATCCCTCGTGCCCCTCGCTCCTGCCCCGGCTCCCTCCCTCACGCCCGGCTCCCCTCGCCCCTGACCCAGCCCCGCTCCCGCGCCGTGATGCTCCTACCCCCGTCCTTTCTCCCGCTCGCATTCCTGTCGCCCCTGCTCTGACCCTACCCTTGTTTCCACAGCCCCCAAGGCCAAGGGCAAGGGCGCGCCGAAGGAGGCGCTGAAGGGGCCGGAGGTGTGCACCGACCCCACCATGCTCGCCACCCACGCCATGGGCGTCAACTACTTCAAGGAGGGCCCGGAGGTGGCCCTGAAGCCCGATTCCGAGTACCCCGACTGGTGGGTGCTGCCCCGTTCCCCTCCGTGTCCCCGCAGAGGTGCCGTCCGAGAGGCACAGGGACAGTGAAGTGCTCTGGGAGGAGGCAGACTGCCCCTCTGCAGCCCAGAGACCTTCCTGGGGTCAGGGAGACAGGAGTGGGTGCACTGTGGATGTGGGGGTGAGGGTTCTGCAAGTCCTGGTCACTCACGTCTGCGGCTATGTCCTGTGCTTGTCCCTTTTTCCCTCCTTCCCGTAGCCTCACATCCTCTGCATTCACCTCCAGGCTCTTTAAGATCCACCTCGGGCCCCCCAAGAAGCTGGAGGAGCTGGACCCTAACACACTTGAGTATTGGAGGCGGCTGCGGAAATACAACACATGGCAGCGCAACAAGTTGAAGAAGGCCAGGAAGTTTTAGGTGCTACCAAGCTCAGGGCTGCCCCACGCACCAGCACAGGTGGCACTGGGACCCGCTCCTGCTTCTGGTCTCTTGATGTAAACAAGAAATAAATCTGGGGTGAGACTGATATCTGTTACAAAGGCTGTGTAAAACTTGGGACCCTGGCAAGCTTGGTGCGGGTCCCCCCCGTGCCAGGGGCTGAGGCAACACAAATTCTGGGTGCGTTTGCGAAGGCAGAAGCTCAGGTTTTGGCTCATGGAGGGAGCCCACACCACACACAGGTCGTGCTCCATCACTGTCTGTACCTCAGTCTGAGGGCTCCACGGGGGGGTGGGAGGGGATGCCCTCCCCCTTCCCCCTGTTATCACTGTGTCTCTGGCTGGGGGTCTTGGGGGCTGAGCAGCCTGTGCTCCTGGGGGCAGGAGGACCAGGCTCTGGTGGTGCTGCCGGGCAGCAGGCGAGGTGAGGGGGGACATAGTGGCCCCTTGCAGTGCCATCCCCGTGTCCTGTTCTGCTTTCCTCCCTTGGCAGCAGGAGCAGTGGTGCTGGGATGCAAGGGCTGGGCTGGGCTGGGTGGTGGAGGCAGGGTCTTCCTCACAGCAACAGGGCCCTCGCTGCCCTGTCCCTGCCTGTCCTCACCTGGCTCCGGCCTGGCAAAGCCCAGCAGCTTCCCCAGCCGTGGTCCTGCCCCTGTGTTGGTCTCACCTGGCTGAGAGGTGCCCCCGTCACCTTGGTTCACCTCCATCCTGGACTTGCTGCCCTGCAGCTCCTGCCTGGGCTCGAGTTGGGCTGTGGGGACAAACAGCCGCCCACAAGGTCCCCCCATAGTGAGGAGGGGGCGGTGGAGCCCCTGCCCAGCCCGGCAGTGTCCCTGGTGCCCCGTGCCCTGCAGCAGGGCCGGGGGCCGTGCCCAGCTCCCTGTGGGGCTGTGGGTGGGTGGTGGCAGCTGCGTGCCCATGCGCCCCACGACAGGAAGGAAGGCAGAGGGAAGCAGAAGTGCTGTGCTGCAGCGCGGGGGCCGGGGCAGATTTTGGGCTGAGCCCTCATTTCCTCTGCGTGGGGCTGGGTGCTCAGAGCTGCCGGGGCTCATCCGGCTGTACCACGCGGTGAGTGCCCGTCCTGCCAGGCCTGTCCTGCGCCCTGCCCTCCTCTCACCACCTCCAGCGTGTCCAGCCCCCCAAGTCCAGCAGAAGGTGAGCAGAGGGAGCACCTGGATCCCTGCCCTCTGTCTCGGAGCCCCCTGCTCAGGTGAGTGTCACCCAGCTGTCCTGGGCAGCTCAGTCCCAGGGGCAAGTGCTCCTCTGGGGCAGGTTGTTGGGGAGGGACCTGAGGGGAGGAGGAAGGAGCTGTTCCCTGGGTGCTGCCCCTGTCCGTGTGATTCATGCCATGCTCCCCTCGTTGTCAAAACCTTTCCCAGGATCAGGGCAAGCTAAGATGGGTCCCAGCCCCAGGACCCCCACATACCTTCCCCTGACCCCTCCACAGCCCCTCTTGGTGGCCTGGAAAGGTTTGTACTGGCTCTGGAGCCACCGCACAGAGGACTGGTGCCAACAAGGGGGCTGCTGCTGTCCCACTGGGGCCTCTGCCAGGGGGAGAGGGGGCCCTGGGCCCCGTTCTCTGTGGTCCCTGAAGGGACAGGGAAGATGAAAGGGGACATCCCATCTTTCCAGTTCTGTGGACCCCAATTCCATGAAGTCTCTTTCTTGGGACTGGGTTAAAATGCCCTGGCTCCTTGCCTGAGGCTGGGGGGTGAGCAGGGTCCCCCGGGCTGCTGTCACAGCTCACGGAGGGAGAGTGTGTGACATTCCTGGCTGGCTGCCGGTGACCAGATCCAGCAGCACTGCCCAGCTGGATCCCAGCACCTCCCCAGGCTCCTGCTAGGAGGGGACCTGACACTGGTGAGCTCATGCTGGTGCTCTCCCCGCTGAGGCACGCTGTGCCCGGCGGTGTCCAGTGGGACCCTGTCACCCCGTGACTCGCTCGTCCCCTCCGTGTCCCCAGCAGGGATGGGGGACTGGAGCGTGCCCATCGGCGCCCTGGGCGAGGAGGTGGTGGCCCGGCTGTGTGAGCTCCTGGATAACGCGGGCCGGGGCTGGCGCAAGCTGGCTGAGCTGGCCGGGGCTGAGAAACGCTTCAAGTGCAGGTAGGGCTGGGGGGGCATCGCCGGGGGCTGTCCCCGACCGGGTGACAAAACGCCGGTGGGCACAGCCCTGCCGTGGGCCGGGCGAGGGGCGCGTGGGTCCCCAGAGCCATCCCCCGGGCAGGGGACACCGCCGAGAGCCCTGGCGGGGGCCCGCCCGCCCCGGGAGGGAGGGGGCACTGACGGCCGTGGGCGCTCGCAGCGCGGAGGAGCTGGAGATGTGCTCGCTGAAGGTGCTGGAGCCCCGCGGCAGCCCCACGCAGTGCCTGCTGCAGCTCCTGGCCGAGCGCGACTGCACCCTCAAGTACCTGCTGGGCTGCCTGGAGCAGATGGGGCACACGAAGGCCTGCCGGGTCCTCAGCGCCGCCGGTACGGACGGGCTGCGGGAACCGCGGGGCTGGAGGGGGCACCGGGGCTGGGGGCTCAGCGGGAGGAAGCGGATGAGGTGAAGGGCAGCTCTTTTTTCTGAGGGTTGTGCTATGGTAGAGGGGTCCTGGGCGGGTGGGGTGGGGTGGGATGGATGCAGCAGGGTGAGGTAGGATGGGATGTTGTCTGATGGGATGGAGGACAGGCTTAGATGGGGTCAGATAGGATGGGATGGGACAGGTTTGGACAGCATGGGACGGGATGAGATAGGATAGAATGGAGCAGAGTGGGGTGGGATAGATTGGAACAGGATAAAATGGGTGAGGTAGGATGGCACTGAATGTACCAAGGGGCCAAGATAGGATGAGATGGTTGAGACAGGACAGAGGATGTGATAGGATGGGCTGGGCTCGGCTGGGCTTGGGCAGGCTGTTGAGGGGGGATGGGAAAGGGTACAATGGGACAGGATAGATTGGGACTGCATGGGATGGGATGGTGTGGAACGGTGGTCTCCTCTCCTGCAGTCCAGGACATGATCCGTATCACGGTGCAGCCGGAGTCACAGGTGGTGGCAGAGGGGACACGAGTGTCCCTGACCTGCTGTGCCACTGGCCCGCCAGGGCTCGTGTACCAGTGGTTCTGCGGGAAGCGGGAGGTGAGGCCCTGCTGTGTCGTGTTGATCAGGGCCCCTGTGCCCTGTCCACACAGGTGAGAGGGAGCCCCTGACTCCTTGGCCACCTCCTGTCTTGTAGGTGCCTGGAGCCACGTCCCCGGAGCTGGTGATTGACACGGCTGCCCCGCCAGGCCAGCCCCAGTGGTACATCTGCCGGGTGAACTGTGGGGCCACCTTCGCCTTCTCCAGGTGGGCCCACGTCCAGGTGGAGAGGAGCAGCAGCCCCAGCTCAGGTGGGCTCCTAGATCTGCATCCCTGGCTGGCACCCATGCAGCACTGCTTGCCCTGTTGGGACCAGGGCAGCTCCCACAGGACACTGCTGGCCCCGTCGGGACAGGGGTGGATCCTGAGGGGCATTGCTTGCTCTGTCAGTCACTGGCTCAGCCACAAGGGTCTCTGGGCTTGCTGGGGTGACAGTGCCCACAGAGGAGCCACATGCCCTGTGTCTTCCTCTTGCACACTGCCTCCTGCTACCCCTGGGTGCCGGGGCCTATGAGTGAGGAACTTGGGGCCTGGAGCAGCTCTGCTGATCGCTGCCATGGCTGGGTGCTGAATTTGCCACCCTGTCCCTTCCCCAGCCAGTGGCTACTGCCCGAGCATGGCAGGGCTGCAGATCCTGCGGCAGCCGCGGCCGTGCCGCCTGGCCGAGGGGGACACGCTGGCGCTGGAGTGCAGAGCCATCGGCAACCCCCCGCCCCAGTACCAGTGGTTCAGGAACCGACGTCCTGTGGAGGGGGCTCAGGCACCCCAGCTCCAGGTATGGTGGGACCCCTGGCACGGCACAGTGTTGGCACAGTGTTGGCACGGCGTGGCAGGGCACGGCACAGTGTGGCACAGTGCAATATGGTCCGACACACCGCCCCAGCCTCCCGCTCCGTCCCACTGGCAGGTGAAGCTGGTGACAACGGCCGAGCGGGGCAGCTACTGCTGCCGAGTGTTCAACCTCTTCCACGAGGTGTGGAGCCAGGAGGTAGATGTGGAGATCGGTGAGGGCCCCAGACAAACCTCTGTGACTCTCTCCCTGTGTGGGGTGTCCTGACCCTGCCCTGCTCCCCTCACGGCTGCTCTGCAGTTTCGGGGGGCTGCAGCCCATCCTGGGAGGTGCTGCCATGTGTAGGATCCCTGACCCCCTCTTTGCCACAGGCCCACGCCTCTTCACCTCTGGAGGCTTCTGGCAGGAAGGGGATGGAGGTAGGTGTGGGCAGAGAGGGCAGGTCCGTGCTGCTCTGCCCACCACGCTCCCCTGGCACTGGAGGGCCCTGGCATGGTGTTTCTCTTTTTCCAGGCTCCCCAGAGTGTGGCAGTCCCGGCCAGTTGTATGGTAAGAGCCTGCCCAGGAGGGGGTGGTGGCCCTGGGCGACTCTGACTGTCCCCAGTGTCACCACTGTCACCCCATGAGGCTTTGCTCGGCCAGGGGTTCTTTGGGTGCAGTGCACTGGGAGAGCAAAGCAGCGCCCCAGCCTTAACCAGGAGAGTGGATCAGCACTCTAACTCTCAACCCAAATCCCTAACCCCAACCTCCAACCCTACCCCCACGGTTCAGGGATCAGCGAGGCAGGGACACCACAGGGCACTTCAATACCCAGGGACAGTGATGCTGGCCACAGTTGGGTGTCAACTCTGTGGGCTGAATGGAGGTGGGGACAGCAGAAGCATCCCACCCCCTTCTCAAGACCTCCCTCTCCCATCCTTGCAGCCACGGACAAAGTGGCGCTGCTGATCGGCAACATGCACTACCAGCACCACAAGCAGCTGCAGGCGCCCATGGTGGACGTTCATGCCCTCAGTGCCCTCCTCCGCCAGCTCGACTTCAAGGTGGTCTCGCTGCTGGACCTGTGCAAGGCTGAGATGCAGATGGCTGTCAATGAGTTCCTCCTCCTCCTCGACAAGGGTGTCTATGGTGGGACAGCACCCGCCAGGGCAGCTCCAGGCTGGGGGAACCGAGGGG